CCAGTCATGTGAAATTCATCGGGTAAACTGGGAGTCATATTTTTCTGGACATTTAAAAATAAATTGAGGCAGAGGCACATGAATTTAATGCATCATAATATTACTAGGCTACTCCCTCATGTCCCAAGCAACAAATTTTATTTAAACTTAAATTTAAGTTGACAGTACAAATGGTATCAATGAATAAATAACAACTATATTGTCTAAACCTTTTTATTAAGAACTTTCTATATATACATTTTGTACAATAACATGAAAAAACTGTATATTTTTTATTGCATATAAAACAATTTCCTAAGTAATAAGCACGAGAACACTATGCAACCGAAACGGTAATGGAATCTCACTTCTCCAAGAAATTGACCACTTCTCCCTTCTCTCTCATGGAAGGAGAAGTCACTTCTCCCTCTCCAAAATCCTAAATTAGGCCCTGTGTTTATAGCTTATACATTGTATGTTAGTAAGTTCGAAATTTGTATCATATAGTTAATAATTTGACACAGAATAATGATTGTGTATGTAAAAATTTTAAAGTTGCTTTTTCGTTTACCAACCATGAAAAATCACATATTTTGTTATAATATACATGTACAATTGCAGTCAATTTTTCTGAAAAAATAACTACTTTTGCCAACTGACAATTCAGTGTCTTGGTTTGATTCAGTAGTGTCATGGTTTAGTTCATGTTTGACACGATGATTCTCATCGTGTATGAAGGAAAAGCATTAATGAAAGTAAACATAGATTGATATACAGTAACAAATGACAGCCACTGCACTCCAGGTTATCTTTATATAAAGTGTATCTTGGAATTTAAATTATTTTTTTTTAATAATTTTTAATATGTACAATTTTTGTCTTGCCTTGACAGAGTAAAAAAGCGAGAAATAGGTATGCTGTTTCCGATGTCGGTGTATTAGTTTGTGATTAGGTCCAGTTTATAGTGAACCACTAGTGGTAGGTCAATGATATTTGGTATGCAGCTGTATTAGCATTGGCATATCTCATTTCCATGGAGATTATTTGGCTCCGCCCCTCAGTCATGGTCTATTGACTTTGAAACTTTTGCTTAGTTTACATGTATTAGTTTGTGATTAGATCAGTTTCAGATGAACCGCTAATGTTAAGTCAGTTGACAGGAAATTATTTGGCCCTGCTCCCTCAGTCATGGTCTATTGACTTTGAAACTTTTGCTTAATTTACATGTATTAGTTTGTGATTAGGTTAGTTTATGGGGAAACACTAGTGGTAGGTCAATGATATTTAGTATGCAGTTGTATAAGCATTGGCATATCTCATTTCCATGGAGATAATTTGGCCCCACGCCCTTAGTCAGGGTCTATTCACTTGAATGTTTGGCATAGTTTACATGTTAAAGTTTGTGATTAGATCAGTTTAAGGGGAACCACTAATGTTAAGTCAATGATATTTGGTATGCAGATGTATTGGCATTTGCAAGTCTCATTTCCATGGAGATGATATGGCCCCCCCCCCCCCCCCCCCCTCATCATGGTTTACTGACCTTGAAACTGTTACATAGTTGACTAGTTTAACTTAGTAGTTAAAGTTTGTTTAAATAATGCCATTTTAATTTCAACATTTGCATTATACTATCAAAGTTACAAAATGCGAGACATATCTCTGTCAACAGTTTACTGTGGATTCATTTATTTTCGTGGATACCAATTTTCGTGGATTGAGGAAAACTTGCATTTTCGTGGATATCTAATTTCGTTGTTTTGGCAAAGTCTGCATACATTCCTTTAGAAAATGTGTAATTCGTTGAACATTTAAATTCGTGGTTGCCCTGTACCCACGAAATCCACGAAAATTGATATCCAACGAATATTAATGAAACCGCAGTATTAAAAACTTTATATATGAAAGTTATAGACATAAAGAAATTCCCATGTGCCACCCTACACTATTGTACACTAACTATTCATCTTTGTTTTCAAAATCAATAAGCAATCCTTAGAAAAGAAAAATAGTAAACCTATGTTTTAACATACAAAATACCCCCAAAACAACCTTTTCAGGATAATTTTTGGAGACAAAGATCTTAGAATCTATTGGTCCATATGTCTTACAACATGTACAAGGATAATTGATAAACTTTAGTTATTAGAAGAATCTTGATTTGGTACTTTCTTCTGTCATGTCTGTACTAAAAATGAAAACATAAAACATGAAACCAGGAACATTATTTGATTCAAATATTACATTGCAATTTAAACAAAATTGTTATGTAAATTAAGGGACCTACAATCATTGACTCACATTAGCTCATTTTATCCACTGAAAAATACTGTTTTTTCGTAAGAACTGCATTAAATGCAACTGTCTGCAATAGTGCTATGTCAAGGTCCATACCATACCTAAATATGATTTGAAAATGTTCAAACTACTCTTCCAAGTTCCAATCTTACTAGCATTGTTTTCGATCACTTTGATATACATGAAATCATTACCAATCTATTAAAAAAAACCTTCTTTATACATGTATTTCTTGTAATGTTATCAAACAAAAACAACAAAGAAAGGGTAGACAAGACAGTATGTTATTATTCTTTTTTTTTACAAAGATTTGAAAAAGTTAATTAACACAGCAGCTTTCCTTAGCTTTTTATTGATTTTTTTTACTGTAGTGAGGTCTAGAACTTTTTTTCTTCATTATAACACCTACATATTATGTTCATATAAAGACATGAATATATATGTATATCATATTTTATTAATAAAAGATTGTGTTCTAATTATAGACTGATTTTTTTTTATATATAAAACTGAGACACTGGCCTGTATTAACACAACTAAGGATTTTGACCCTGAGCATTTCTGAAGAAAATTTATTTATGAAATCTCATCAAACCCAGAAAATTCACTGTTTGTTCTTAAAAGAACTATAATACTGGTGAAAAGTCCATGAATTCCATGTTTAACATTTCAGTACTTTAAATTTAATGATTTAAAGATACAATAAGGAAAAATGATGTGAGAAATAATATGCAGAGGCCTCTTTTTGGAATAATTTCAATCAGGAGTTTGTTGACTATTGATTGAGGACAAAACTGCTGTAGAGAGATCTCCATAATTACTTCTTTTTACATTAACATGTACAAAGAAGTCCTCAATCAATAGTAAACAAACTTCTGATTGAAAATGGACAGTCTAACATGTAAACCCCAAAGTGCACTTTTCTTAGAATGACAAAGGCTTCATTTGAAAAAGTTGGATGATGCACTTTAATATTTCCATGTAGCCACATTTAGTGGCACTGAAAACAGAACATTTTATTAAGTACAATTAATCTACAATTTGAGCTTAGCCCAATTAACAATTTTTTTCGCTTTGATATTTACCATATCTGAAATTTCAGTTTCTGCAATATAATGCTTAAAAGTTCAGTCTAAAATTTATGAAGGCATAAGTCCAAAACACGGAGGAGTCTTACTGTGCATAAAATTTCAGCTTTTATCATGATTTTATGGGGAAATTATTTGTTTGCAGTAAAAGTAAAATAATTTTATAGTTTATTACATAATTATGTTCAGATGAACCTATTGATTATGTCTGCAATTTTAGATTGCAATTCAGAATGATAAATAAAAAACAAAAAAATTATAAAAATATGCAAAGGGAGATAATTTTGTATAGCTGGATAGAGATTGAGCTATATCATGTATATTTTCTCCAACAATAGATTTACAGGATCTTTTTACTTGTGTATTTTGCTACTGGTTATGAAGGAACCTCATGGACAATTAAATTGGCTTCTGAGGCTAAGCTGGGGCTAAGCTTGCTGTCAAAGGACAGTTGCATACAAGGCTTATCTGTCTATTGCAGTGGAAGTTGAGTGGATGATTGGAAGGCACTTTTCCCTCACATTCATCACCAAAAGAGATTTAATTCTAAATGCAAGCATATGGTATATTTAATGTTATCTATAAGATATTAATCATATATTGTTCCTGTTGACTTGGATTGTCATAAGAGCCTTTTTATGAAATACAATAGTCTTGGATAGTTACTGTTTCTAAAAGATAATCACAAGTAAATATGTACAAAACACTAACTCCTAGGGATATCATTATTAAATTCATCAACAATGCTAGGACTGACATAAATCTCAAGGGTCTCGCATTACTCTTGATTTATGCTAGGCATAATGTCTGACATAAATCTCAAGCGTCTGATATCACTCTTGATGGATGTCATGCATCATGTACAATATAAATCTCAAGGGTCTGACATAACTCTTGATTGATGCCAGGCGTAATGTCGGTTATAAATCTTGAGTCTGACATAACTTGATGACTGTCATGCATAATGTCAATCATAAATCTCAAGGGTCTGACATTTAACTCTTGATGGATGCCAGACGTAATGTCAGACATAAATCTCAAGTGTCTGACATAACTCTTGATGGATGCCAGGCATAATGTCTGACATAAATCTCAAGCATCTGACATAACTCTTGATGACTGTCATGCATAATATCTGACAAAATATTTATTCAACTGTGATTTGTAGATATATTTCCTAAATTTGAGTCTCCTCACTAATGAGTACAAAGTTTTATATTATATTATATATGAGTTGTATCCTTACAGACATTTTCTTAATAGTCATGGGGTAGTATGCATAGAAATAAATATCAATTTTGTGTAATATTATTTGTTCATTGCTCTTATATATGAATTTTAGCTGTTCCAGTAAAGAAACATTGGATTCGATTAAAAATATGATATCAATACTAATATGTCATGTATGTCTAGTTTGGCAATTATCTGATGGTCCAAAGGAACAAAAATGTATCTGTAGAATAGGGAACAATCGTCATTTCCAAAACATTTCAGACCCCCATTTAGATGGTGATATTAAAACAGCAAAAACCAAATGAAATTCAGTCTGATTAACATGACTAATAAACTTATCATGTGTTCAGTAGTTTTATAGTTCAAACTTTTCTTATATAGAATTCTTTTGCAACATTGCAGGTGATGAGAAATGCAAAGGTTATGGATATGTCACATTTTCATTGATGTAAGTATAAAAATTTAAAAGTTATGGATATGTCACACTTTCATTGATGTTAGTATAAAAATTTAAAGTTTATATTATATGTCACATTTTCATTGATGTAAGTATAAACATTTAAAGGTTATAGTATATGTGACATTTTCTCTGATGTAAGTATAAACATTTAAAGGTTATAGTATATGTGACATTTTCTCTGATGTAAGGATAACAATTAAGAGGTTGGTTGTACTTTAGATGTCTTGTCAGTGACGAAAGCGAGACCTAGTGATTACAATCCATTGATGGCGACAGAGTAAACTATTTGTTTAAAGCTTTATATTTCAGAAGATAGAAGACCTGGTTGCTTCATACCTTGTAAACAGATACCTTATGTTACAAAGTTTCAGTCTGTCAAATGTCCATTTCATTGACCTCATATTCATGGTTCATCAGTGAATGCTTAAAAAAACTAAAGTTCTTTTATCATCTGAATTTCTCACTTATGATGAGTAATAGAATAACAATGTTTGGTATATGGGATCCTTGCAAGGTCTAGATGTCCATCAGATAGGGTTCACCTGACCATGACCTGTTTTCATGGATCAGTGATCAAGGTTTTCAAGTTTTTGTGATTATGTCCTTTTCTCACATACCAAGCAATAGGTCAACTATATTTGGTGTATGCAATGATTGTAAGATGTAGATGTCCATCCGGCATGTTTCATGCGACCTTGACCACATTTTGATGGTTCATTGGTTAATGGTTAGGTCTGTTTCTTAGATACTATAAGCAATAGGTTAACTTTATTTGGTGTAAGGAATGATTGTATAGTGTTTATGTCTGACTGGCATGTTTCATCTGACCTTGACTTCTTTGACTTGGATCATTGATAATGTTAAGTTTATGTGATACTTGAAGTAAAAACTTTATCTTAAATAAAGACTTTCAACATAAATTCAATCATAACAGTAAAGCATACGACACATTTCAGTGTGCTGAATGTAGTTGAATTAATGTGTATTGTCATGATGTAAAGTGGCAGTTTATTGGTGGCAAGTACTATATTTAACGATGGGCCACTACAAATCACAGTGACATATTATAGTACATGTATATAGTTAAATCCTTAATCCACTCTGCTAGCTCTGTATGATACTAGATGTAAGAAAGAACTAAAAAAAAAATACCATAAATATCATTAATAAATTATTTTGGTTATAGTTTTATCTTGGTTTTTTTGGCATGTCTCATGAATGTGCCAGAAGTAAACAGAAATAAGGCCCGAAAAACATAATGTGATCTTGTATGTTGACTTCTATATTTGAACTATAATTTGGATCAAATAAAGTGTTAATTACTGCCTCTCCTCTTTATCTAATTTTCAATATTACTGTTTTTATATATCAGCAGACAATATTGATTCCCATTAGAGCCTTCAGCTTAAATCAAACTGCAATAACGTTCTCTTTTACATGCAATAGTATAATTTTAGTCACTCAGTTTAATGATTTAATGACATTCAATCTATTCTTGTTGGATATTTTGCAGAATTATACTTGTAATCTTCTTTAAAAAAATAAATGATATTGTCTTGATTAAAATTAAAACTGGGGATTAAAATCAAAACAATCAACTTGAATAAAATTTATGAGAAAATGTGTTGCATGTCAAATTGTTTATAAACAAGTATTAGTAAGTTGCTCTCCAATTTTTTTGTTTTTTGTCCATAGATAAAGTGTAAAATATAAATGTTTAGACCTCATAATTACAAAACAGAAAAAGGCTGAAAGTTGCCAAATATATGTTAAGAACCTGCATTGCCAAAAAAATTCAACTGAAATTGACAATTGAAAATTTTAGCAAATGGATGTTGTTTTCTTTTTGCCATCAGTATAGTTGGAGTCAGAACATAAATTACATGTTAAACAGATTGACATTATGATAATGTATGATATAAAATGTCTTCTTGGTTGATAAATTTCAGTGAAGATGCTGAGAAGGCAAAGAACCAAATAAAGTCCGTTGATAAAAGGAAAATATACGTTAATTACGCAAACAAAAAGAAGGATACTAAAATAAAGAAGTCATTGTCACAGAAAGTTGAAAATGAAGAGAAACAGACAAAGGAGCCAGAAGAAGAAAAAAGTGAAGGTAAGTCAACATTATATTGGTGTGTTCAGGTTTTTTCAGTCTTAACGTTTTTGATATACTGTTTTTTTTTTTTGATAAACAGTAATAAATCAATGAAGAGATTAACACTTTACCTGTTATTAGGTCTACGTAGGTAATGTGGAGAAAAACATTTAAATATATCTACAGTCTTTACTTGACCTTTTACAGTTTGTTAATTTTTTAAATAAAAAATACTAATAACAGTTTCTGAGGAAAACAATATCAGTTTGACCAGAAAAAATAAGTATTTTTCTCATTTTTAGATAAAAAAAGAAAACCAGTTTAATGACCTCTAATCTATTCTTTGAGTCTTGATATAAAAAACTTACTAAACAATTATAAGATCTACTTGTACTGCTGAATACAAGCTGTCTGAAAGTGTAACAATGCTTAACAGAACATATTGGGTCATATCTAATCATAAAACCATTAAAGGTAAGTAATATATATAGTGTTCAATTTAGTGTATTCATTCTTACTACATCTAAACTCATAACAAATTACAGTGGCATTTTCAAAGAAACTGTATGTTCATAGCTTCTTTCTATATCATACAAGGTTTATTATACCCCCGCTTTAAAAAAGTGGGGTATACTGTTTTACCTCTGTCTGTCCGTCCGTCCGTCCGTCCGTCCCATGAATATTTTTCGTCACATTTTTCTCAGGAACTACATAAGGATTTCTGAAATTTGGTTTCAGGGTTTATATAAGTCAGCTATACAGTGTCATGTGTTTTCAGATTCATCACTCAACAGCTTCCTGTTTATCGAACACTTACATCATTTTACACTTGACATCCAAGTAGTTGAAAATTTTCGTCACATTTATCTCAGGAACTACATTACAAAGATTTCTGAAATTTGGTTTCAGGGTTTTTATGAGTCAGCTATACTGTGTGATGAGTTTTCAGATTCATCACTCAACAACTTCCTGTTTACCGATATATTTGGGTGGGGGTATCATCAGTGAGCAGTAGCTCGCAGTTTCACTTGTTCGGCAAGCTAAACACTGGGTTTTTAAATACCTTTCAAGATACAGTAAATTCAGAAATTATTGCATACATTTATATTACGATTTCGACATGACAGACCAAAATGTGAAAATTATTATTGCGATTACAGGAAATGTAACATACAAATAAATGTGTCAGATTTCAGAATGCAAGTTTTCATAATGGTGATAGTCACCAAGTCACATTATTCGCATTAATTAAAAACTTGCAATAATTTCTGAATTTACGGTAAATCAGTCATGATATTCCTGTTTGCAAACTATATTTAAACCAAATTGGCAATTTTCTATTTCGTTTTTAAGCTTCACAAATGAATTATACCAACCACTGTCTGGCAAGGTGTTTTTAGAGCTTCAATCTCGATAAATACATGTATGTCTCTTATATGAAATGCACTTTTATCGGATTTTAATTGCATTTAACTTTTTTACTACTTTTCAAACCTGTCTGATATTTAATACAATCAATGTGAATTATTTAGGTAGGGACCTAACATTTTGTCATATTTATTTTCTCTTGTAAGCATTCATTGCTGATCTTTTGCTGATTCTGTCAGACTTGAACTTATTCAGCTCGAAAACTAGAAGAGAATTCAACTCTTAACTTTCAACAATCTATGTTTTGAATTAAACCTTAACAATATTCTTTTTTAACCGGATTTTTCGAAGGAAATATCGGTTATTAAAATGGTTATATACAGCGGGCGGCTGGGCAGCTCTGGCGGCTGCCAAACAGCGTCCGCACAATAACATGAAAACGCTTTAACAAATTTTTTTCAAATTTAAATATGTTGTTTCCTGGGACTTAATGAAGGTCTCTATTAATTTTCAAGATTTTAGTATATCTCCTTTGTGAGTTATCTTCATTTTTAATATCCAAAAGTAGAATTTTAAAATATTTTACTGTTGTTATCTTTTTATGATTTGTCTTATCTCAGAATAAAAATTGGAGTGACAGATTTATTTGAAAATTATCTATTTCCTAAGTGGTAATGATTATAGGCTATATCATTAAAATTGAGAATGGAAATGGGGAATGTGTCAAAGAGACAACAACCCGACCATAGAACAGACAACAGCAGAAGGTCACCAACAGGTCTTCAATGAAGGGAGAATTAGACATTTTGAAGATTATTACATTATTAATTATGTTAGAGTACTATGTTAAACAACCATAGTTCTGTTCAATTAGATATTATAAATATTTCAGCATATGATAATGATTTATTTTCATTGTTAATTAGATCTTTGAAATATTTTAGCATATGATAATCATTGGAGTGACAGATTTATTTGAAAATTTACTGTTTTCTGATTGAAATATAGGGGAAGTCCATTGGGGTAACCCCTACCCCCCTTTTTTTTGATAACTTGTAAATGGTCAAGATTCCCACCCAGAAACCATATATATTCTTGTATGGGACAATATATCAAATCAAATGAAATATAGGGGAAGTCCCCGTGGGTAAACCCTACCCCCTTCTTTTTGAAAACTTGTAAACGGTTGAGATCCCCACCCCTAAACCATATATGTACTTGTATGGGACAATAAATTAAAGCAAATTAAATTTAGGGGAAGTCCCCTGGGGTAACCCCTACTCTCCTTTTTTTTTGAAAACTTGTAAATGGTCAAGATCCCCACGGCGAAACCATATATATTCTTGTATGTTACAACAAAACAAATGAAATGAAATAAAAGGTGAGTTCCTTGGGGTCATTCCCACCTTCTTCCTGTTTAAGAACTTGTAAATGGTCGAGATCCCTGCCCCTAAACCATATATATCCTTGTATGGGACAAAAAACAAATCATATGAAATAACGGGCAGGTCCCCTGGGAAAATTAATCAGTTTGTGTGTGTTATATTTGAACACAAATTAAATACATTTAGGGTTCTTTCAAGTGCTGAATCTGAACTTGTTTTTAATTAGATAATAATCTATTTTTATTATGAGATAAAGTTTTTGACATTGATAGATAAGTTGCAGATCTGTATTATTTTTTGACACATGAAAGAAACAATATTAGCAACTATTAATTAAATTTGATTATAATATGGAAATAGATATAACATCATATCTGATTTTAGAGAAGTATTTTGCTGGTTTTTTACTGGTTTATGGAAATAAGTTTGAGTTATTTGTTTAGAAAAGTGATGTGTTTAATTGATAGATATAAAATCATATCTAATTTTAGAGATTTATGAGTGGTTAAGTCATATCTAATTTTAGAGAATTATTTTGGTGTTTTGTTACTGGTTCATGGAAATAAATTTGAGTTTTATCGTGTAAACGGTCGAGATCCCCACCCCTAAACCATACATATTCTTGTATGGGACAATAAAACAAATCAGATGAAATACTGGGGGTCCCCGGGACCACCCCCACCCCCCTTCTTTTTGATAACTTGTAAACGGTCGAGATCCCCACCCCTGAACCATATATATTCTTGTATGGGTCAATAAAACAAATCAAATGAAATATTGGGGAAGTCCATGGGGGTAACCCCCACCCCCTTCTTTTTGATAACTTGTAAACTGTCCAGATCCCCACCCCTGAACCATATATATTCTTGAATGGGACATTAAAACAAATCAAATGAAATTGAGGGGAAGTCCCCTGGGGTAACCCCCACCCCCTTCTTTTTGAAAACTTGTAAATGGTCAAGATCCCCACCCTGAAACCATATATATTCTTGTATGGGACAATAAAACTAATCAAATGAAGTAAAAGGCGAGTCCCCTGGGGTCAACCCAACCCCCTCCTGGTTGAGTACTTGTAAACGGTCGAGATCCTAACCCCTAAACCATATATATTCTTGTATGGGACAATAACACAAATCAAATGAAAATATAGGGGAAGTCCATGGGGTTCCCCCCCACCCCCTTCTTATTGAGAACTTGTAAACGGTCAAGATCCCCACCCCGAAACCATATATATTCTTGTATGGGACATTAAATCAGATCAAATGAAATATAGAAGAAGTCCATGGGGCTAACCCCCACCCCCCTTCTTTTTGATAACTTGTAAACGGTCGAGATCCTTACCTCTAAACCATATATATTCTTGTATGGGACAATAAAACAAATCAAATGAAATATAGGGGAAGTCCAGGGGGGTCACCCCCAGCCCCCTTTTTTTTGAAAACTTGTAAACAGTCAAGAGCCCCACCCCGAAACCATATATATTCTTGTATGGGACAATAAAACAAATCTAATGAAATAAAAGGCGAGTCCCCTGGGGTCACCCCACCCCCTTCTGTTTGAGAACTTGTAAACGGTCGAGATCCCCACAACTAATCCATATATATTCTTGTATGGGACAATAAAACAAATCAAATGAAATATAGGGAAAGTCCATGGGGGTAACCCCCACCCCCCTTCTTTTTGATAACTTGTAAACGGTCGAGATCCGCACCCCTAAACCATATATATTCTTGAATGGGACAATAAAACAAATCAAATGAAATTGAGGGAAAGTCTCCTGGGGTAACCCCCACCCCCTTCTTTTTGAAAACTTGTAAATGGTCAAGATCCCCACCTGAAACCATATATATTCTTGTATGGGACAATAAAACAAATCAAATGAAATATAAGGTGAGTCCCCTTGGGTCACCCCACCCCCCCTCCTGTTTAAGAACTTGTAAATGGTTGAGCTTTTCATTGTTAATAAGATAATACCACATTGAGGTCCAAAGGGTCCTAAATTAAACTTTTGTTTAATTTCATCAAATATTGAATTCTTTGGTTCTTTGATATGCTGATTCTAACAATGTTTGAGTGTTAAATCATATCTTATTTTAGAGAACTTAGTCATCACTGGTTGTTGTTATTATATTATTGATTATAATTTGAAAAATTGCATCATATCTTATTTTAGAGAACTATTTATCCAGTTTGAGTTATTTCCCTTTGCACAGAAAATATTATGGATAAAATTAACCTGTGTTTCATTTCAACATAAATTAAATATATATATATAGGGTTCTTTCAAATGCTGAATCTAAACTCTATTTAAATATTAGATTTTTAGGACCAGTTTCAAGTTGGTCCAAATCAGGGTCCAACATTAAACTTTGTTTGATTCAACAAAAATTGAATTTATGTTCTTTGAAATGCTGAATCTAACCATGTATTGAGAGATTTTGGATTGTGGGCTCCTTTATCAAATTGGTCCACATTGAGGTCCAAAGGGTCCTAGATTAAACTTTTGTCTGATTTCATCAAAAATTGAATTCTTGGGGTTCTTTGATATGCTGATTCTAATATGTACTTAGATTTGGGATATTGGACCATAATAGGTATTTAAATGTCCAATTTCAAATATATCAGTTCTTTGACTACATTCATTTTGTGTCACAAACCTCTGATGTGTCAAATATTCAATCACAATCCAAATTCAGAGCTGTTTTAAGTTTTAATGTGTCCATACTTGCTCAACTGTTCAGGGTTCAACCTCTGCAGGAAAATCCGGTTTGCTGTCTCTCTGACAGCCTCTTGTTTATGTTCTGGTCTAGACTTTGACTGGGGGGGGGGGGGGGGGTCTCTTTCTATTTGAAGATATATACACACACTGGTATGGGTAACTTTTCTGGAATGTCCAATATATCAATGGGGTGTAATTTCACAGAGGTAATATATCAATGGGTAGAAATTGACATATCATTGGATTATAAATTTTCATCTATAAAATCGGAAATTTTTGTGTGCATTTATTATTGCGATTTTATTTTTAAATGAACAAAAATCCTAGATTAATTATTGTGATTTTAGTAAATTCTTTATGCAAATAATGCTATCAAAATTTAAAATGCAAGATAATTTATTTTTGTGATACCTATTCCTTTGCTCATTTCGCAAAAAAAAAAACATTGCCAAATTTCTGATTTTTATACAGTATTTGGCATTTGGTATTCGAGATGACCTCATAAGTTCATGGTTTAAATCATTGAAATTTTTCTGGTTTCGGTATAACAGATAAATATGTCTGAAGAAAGTTTAATCCAATAGGAAATAAACTGCTTATACTTTATTTTTTTATTTCCCATAAAGACGATATATATATATATATATCTGTTTTGTTATTTTGTAAATAAAATTGTAATTAAGTATTTGCTTCAAAACTGTAAAAACTAATCCATCAAAGATTTAAAGAATATAAAAGATAAAATTGTAGGTGATGACATAATTGATCCCATGAGAGTGGTATGTCTGACTCTTGAAATCTTCCATTATATAAACTGAATACCTAATAAACAGACAATCAAAGGAGTTAAAACGACATTTAAGTACATATGTACTCAATCAAAACCAAAGAATAGTAAAATAAAAATGCTTATGCCGTAAGAGATCCAACAGGTCCTCTTGTACTTGCAATCACCGGTGGAGATTCCAAGAGGTTGGCAGGTATGAATAATGATTTTATCACCTTGACAGACTGCAGTAATAGACATACTCAGGATAAAGAAGTCTTCTTCACATTTACTTTTGTTTTTTCACAGGTACAAAGAAGGAAGAAATATCTTATCTAAAGGCCAAAACATTAGTAGTGTCAGGAATTCCAGATGAAGACCAAGTGGAGACAACTCTTGATAAATTGTAAATATTAATTTAAGATACATATTCATTGATAGTGGTAATTTATTACAATGAATGAAATTCAAGATGTTTTCTTACTAAATGCCTTTTATCACAAAAACCATAAACATCAATAAAACTTCATAGCAAAATCTACATGAGGAAATGTAATTCTTTATACAATGTTTTTCTTTGAAAGATTTGATATTTATGCCCCCGCAGTAGTGTCTGTCCGTACGTCCCGAAATTGGTTTCCGTTCTTTAACTTTAGATTACTTCAACCAAGTGTTATGAAACTTATACACAATGCTTATTACCACAAAACACAGATCAAGTTTGAATTTGGGTGGCATCACTTTTACCTTTCTAGAGTTATACCCCTTTTCAAATGGAAAAATTGCTGAATTTTTCGTTTCCGTATTCTAACTTAAGTTTGCCTCAACCCAATGTTATGAAACTTACACACAATGCTTATTACAACAAAACTCAGATCAAGTAAGAATTTGGGTAGCGTCACTTTTACAGTTCTTGTGTTATGTCTCGATATAATGTTATATGCAAGCGGGGGCATCATCTGTAGCCCATGGATACATTCCTAATTTATTTTATGTTGTTTTAATAATACTTATAGAATATCCAATCGAAAATTCAAATATGAAAAACTTTTCAACAAGTGACCAAACAAGACATTAATTCATGAATGCGTGAATCACATCGAACTTGAAATAAAGGATACCACAGATACAGTTATGTCTGTTTCATAACTTACATCTAGAAATTGACAATGAGGGTCTGTTGAGAACAAAACTTTATGACAAAAGAATAGAAAATTTAAGTTCATGTTTTTTTGTTTCATTTTCCAGAAAAATTGCATACACAAGAAGTCTGAAACAGTCAGAACTAGTCTTTCTTTGCAATATGTATAACAGATTTCTACTCTTTATTTTTGCAGAAAAATAAAGAACATATCTAAGATTGACTATCCAATAAAAGGCAGGAATCAGCTAACAGTATTTGTTAGGTTTAAGTCTATCAGAGATTTAAAGAAAGGACAAAAGAAGGTAGAAAAGAAAGGTAAATTCAATTGGAAGGCACTTTTTATATAACTCTGCCATGCATAAAATTTTAATTGATTATTTCATGTAATTGTTAAGGCTATCCGTCTAAAATAACCACTACCCATCAAATTTTAATAAAAGTGCCTTTCGACCCCGTCATTCAATTAATTCTGGAAAATCCCTGACTAAAAGCTACATGAATGAAGTTTGATTATAATATTACTAAAGGTTTGTCAGATAAAATTGTTAACAAAAAATAGATTTTTTATCTGTTTAGATGTAAAGAAATGATCAGAGATAACATTAATGTACACATAAAGGGAGATAACTGTAATGAAACCTAAACTCAATCAGTGGTGTATGAAATATTAACTAGATATCAAAATTTAAACATCGCTTTTGATACATGCATAAAACACATGTTTGTAATACATGATATATAATCAATTTATGTCACACATTTTGAATGTAGATTTAGTATCTTGAAAACACACTTTTTTCATTATATTCAATTCTATTCATTCTATAAGGCAATTTTGTTTTTTTGCAGGATTACAGGCCATACAGTTATCAAAAGAAAACAAAGAAATTCCTCAAAAGTCATTGAAGCAGAGCAGACTTATCATCAGAAATTTGTCATTCCATGTAATGTATATATATATTGATTCAAACCTTAACCTGTACAAATAAGACAGTGCCATTCCGTTTTATGATTTTTATGTAGGGGTGGAGATGTTCAATCAAAAGCTTGTTCAGAGAGCATCCCTTGAACCCACAAACCCTTGAATTTAGGAAGGATGGAATATATAATGATATTTCCACACTTCAGCCTTCTTGCAGAATATCACTGTCTTATCCTGCATTTCAAGCTTTAAAGATTCTGTCATGCCAAATACATTTACTTTATTTACTGCCATGACAAATTATTTACCTTGTATAATGAAAAACAGTTTGATTATTTCATCTTATGATATGTATTTCCTGCAATTTTTTTATCAGAAATTGATACTGTAAACCGCGAATTTTTCGCGCCGTCTTTTTTTCACGAGTTACCAACAAAATCTAGATTCGTGCCGTTTTGAATTCGCGATGTCCCGGTCTGTGTCCTATATAAGTTTTTTTTTTTCATAAATGATTTGGAAACTGTACAGTGTTAATAAATGTATTTAAATCAAGTGATAAAACCAATCAAAATTCCGTTTGTTGGTTCACATTTAAAACTATTAGTCATGTTTGCTTGTAAAAACACAATCACAATACACAAAGAGGAATGACCTAATTAAGAGTAAATAAAATGCTGACAGAATTACTTCTTATTAATTAATATTTTAATCTGATTGATCTGTTCAGCAGATACAATGGGTAATCATTTTAAAACTGATTGACAGGTGTCATTTACATAACTGTAACGACAGTTGTTTAGGCCGAGAAAAAAAAAATCTGTGTTTCCGGTAACCCGACCGACCCTGTTTTTTTAGCCCCGACCCTAATTTTTTTATTGGATCTTCAAAAAAAAAAAAAAAATTGGTTTCAACCGACCCTGTTTTTGACACAGGCTTCTGTAAATCAACATAATTATTTATCTAACTTGCTTCTACTGGCACAGAAAGCCAGTAAAACATTTTATTTATGTCAAAAGGTATTCCAAATACATGAAATAGGTTAAAATCCAAGAAATTTGCACAGCAGGTGCTTCAAAAACATTGCAAATGGCCGCACTTCCGGTATTTAAAACTAATTACGGACCCGGACTTGGAAAAACCATGATAATTTTCCGGATTTCGTTTACAATGTCAAAAAAAATCAAAAAAAAAAAAAAAAAAAATCTGACCTACCGACCCTATTTTTCAAAATGATGTTACCGGAAACACAGATTTATTTTTTTTTAGGCCTTATTTAGCAATATCTGTAATGTCCACTTGGATTAATTAGGACTATCATGAGATAAAGTTTTGATATCTAACACTGACTTTCCTTTAAAAATAAAGTTATGTTTTGCGGTATAGATCTGTCGTCTGTAAAACCGATGTTTTAAATTAGCCATCTACATATCCTATTGACATACGTTCATGTACGGTCTTCATATTCATGTTCAGATTTCCTTGAAATATTCGCGGTCAATTTATTTTCGCGTTTCAACTCTTACTGCAAAAATAGCGAAAATAAAATTGCCGCGAAAATTTCCCTGTTTACAGTAGCAACTCATGATGTTATTTGGAAGAATTTTCTTTGAAACCACATAGCAAACCTTATACATCTATTGAATTTATATTGAATTACCTTTTAGACACTCAGTAATAATGCTTGTCTTTCAAAAATGTAGTCGTTTGCTACACCGCATCCATGTTTACACTTTACCAGATAACTGAAAGTTGGGTTGATATTTTTTTGTGTATTGACTCTAAAATATATCAGAACTATAGTCACTTTCAAAATTCTACTGCTACTGATCAGCTATTTTTAAAATTCACTCTACGAAGTTATGAAGTTATTGCACTGTTACAGAATTGTTTGATAGGTATTGGCAAACACTGTGAATATTTTACCAATATATTGAAATATTAATTTACTTTAGTTCCTGTTTTAAATAAACCATTTTAAGACTCTTTCACAAGATCATTAATCTGAAACAGTACAGTATTGAAGAGCATGAATGAAATATCAAATTTGTTTTCAGTGCTCAGAACCTCATTTAAAAGAAGTATTTAGTCAGTTTGGTGAAGTAAAAGAGGTCAAAATTCCTAAACAGCCTAGTAAGTATTATCTATTTGTGTAATTTATTAACGCATAAACAGTGAAACTAAAATAGTGTTATCTCTCTATTTTAAGATGGCTGGGATATATCTCATTCTCATTCTTCTTGAATATGCCTGTAATATTTGCCACTGTACATTAAACAGCCATCAATCATTCATTCGCATAAGATTAAGATAATATTTTGTTGATGTATATAAGATGAAATTTTTAATATATAAAACAAAACAAACATCTGAATCTCACCCGATGATTTTCAGACATGAACTTAAGGAAAATCATCTTGTTGCACAGTATTTGCTTAGTTATAGCAGTATTATTCTTTAAAAAGGTTCTGAATATAAACTTTTATAGCTTACTATGCAGTATGGGTTTTCTTCAATGGTGAAGAAATAGTGACCTATGGTTGCTAATTTCTGTGTCATGTGGTCTCTGGTGAAGATGTTAGTTTAAATATGAAGATATATAGTTTTAAAGAATTCTTAGAAGAATAAAATTTGTTTTAGGTAAAGAGGATTCTTAAGTACATATATGTTAACCTTTGTATATTTTTGTAGATGGTAGAATGTTTGGGTTTGGGTTTGTACAGTTTACAGACTTAACATCGGCAGAGCAGGCATTACAGAAAATGAATACAAAAATGATCAGAGGTGAATGTTCATTATATGTATCTATAATTTATCAATTATTTATAAGAATGGAGACCTTTTTTTGATATAATTAGTCAATTTTTTTTTATTATATCTTCCTTCCAATCGAGGGCTTCCAAAACGGTCGTATTGTTCGGACTTGACAGTTTAAGTATATTTTTTACTTGTTGTGTCGAGCCTGAACCGGACATATAATGTGGTTTTGCCATTTATACATAATTCAGAAAAAAAATAGTAGTTTATGCAATCTTTTTGACCTGACCTTTTGCCTTAAACAGCCACACGTTTCCAGTCATAAAAGTGACATGATGAATAATTACTATCAAAACACTACTTTAATACCCTCTCATTACAATGAAGGTTAATTAGTTGTCTGACAGCAGAATTTTACCTGTTCAGGCGACAGGTAAACTATTTTGTACTGGACATTGATCAGTCTATTTAAAGTTATTTTCTTAAATTTCAGCAGATTGCATCTAACTAATTTAGTCAAAAAGATTAAGATTATCAGAAATACGTATATAAATATGATTTGATGAAAATTTAAAAAGGTGGTTATAATGGTTAAAGCGAAAAATCGTCAGATCCACGTTGTTTGAACTAGTACACGTGTGTGCAGGTGTGAGATTAAATTATGCATCCGAATTTTTCAAAAATGCTAAAATTATCATTGTTACCTTTATCTAACGTTCATTTCAAATATTTTCCTGAAGAAATAAGGTGGAAAGAGCTACTTAAACTCAATCGTGCTTTGTAAATGTACACAGATTAAATGTATCCGTATTTGGTCCGTGTTTTACCATTGTCAAGTCAGCATCAGGTATTAGAAAATGTGCCTTTTAAAAACGAAAGTGAAGTTGTTGACAGCGTAATTTTGCACAAATAAAAAGTCTAAGGCAGATATAAGTACCGCTGATGTTGCACACTTTCGAATGATGCACTGTCAATTTAATAGTTTACGTCAGAACATCAAATTTATATCAAAAGTCAAGTTTAATATCGTTTAAGTGTCTATCATTGTTATAACGATGCCCAACTGATTACCATGATTGCCTTTTGTTACTAATTCTTAATGGATTAAAATCGGGACAAGACAAAAATGTCTGGCTGGCTCAGATATTTTTTGGAAGCCCTGTTCCAACCCATTCTTACACATAATGGCTATGTATGAAATTTATGTCACATTTTTCTCAGGAACTATTAATCAAAGCTTCCAAATTTTTTTTATCTAGCTTCATGAGAGCATGCTATATCATGTGATGTGTGAACTCAACTTTCTGTTTACAGAATACTTATAGTGGGGGTATCCTTTGTGCGAAAAAGCACGGTTTGACAAAACATGCGGAATTTTGGATTCTCTATGCTCTTCAACTTGTTCTTTATTTGACATTTTTTTATTATTAGAGCATCACTGAAGAGTCTTTTGTAGATGAAACATGTCTGGCCTACAAAGTTTTAAGCCTGGTATCTTTGATGAGATTTTTTTCTGTTTAGTACTCAACACTCTCTATTTTAGCTTGATCAGATTTAAGTTTTTGAATAATCATGCTAATGATTTCTGTTTTAGGTAGATCAGTAGCTGTTGATTGGGCAGTACCAAAAAATAAGTTTGAGAAAGACAACAAAGTTGAATCAGATGGTGACTCTAGTAGCATGGAACAAGGTATTGGACATTTTTAATCATCTATGTCTTAGAAACATGGTATAGTAATGTTATAACGTTATAACTCAACAGATAGTAACAACTGCTATTGATACAACTGTCCATCATGACCAGTCCAGCAAAAAAATTAAAACATTCAGGGGTTGATTCAAAAATGAACAGTCATCACAACATTTTAAAGCTTCAAAAATTTTAGCACTGTTAAATTGAAAATTTAACCAAACAGCAGAAGATCTGAATGCATTCATTTATAAAATATGCTGTATCTAGTGTATACTTAAAAACTGCGCTATTGATTTCAGGCATTGTGGTTATAAAAATTTCAAGTACGATTATTGTACTCAGACTCAGAATTCAACCAATCAAAATACTGGATTGAGTGTTGTAAGCATAAATTTTGTACTCTGAGTATTGAGTAAAGTTTTATGACCACAAGCCTAGATAATTTATTTTTGTGTTGTTATATGCCTCATCTGTTATAGGAGAGTAATTACTGATTGTTTGTTTAATAGTCTGTTGGTTCATTCTTCTGTTTCTACAACTCATCCTTAAACAATTTGCTGTACTTAAAGCTGATGAAAAACTATTAAAACTCCAGAAGCCAAAAACAAATTTGTTGAAGAAAACTTTTATATATTCTGGTTCTCAAAAAAGGAACACTTTACCAAATGAAATAAAGATGAGAAATACACTTGTATCTTTTAAAACAAAATGTTACAATTTTTTCATGAAGAAGGCAGATTTATATGCTTTTTCATTGATATCTATATAAAATTGTATATTGTGTATATATCATTATAATATTGTATGTACTTTATGAATATGTTATTATTATTATGATGACTCTCAGGAAGATTAGTTTTAACTAATGGGATTATCCTCTTGAAATAAAGATTATTTATTTATTTATTTATTTAAGAAATGATTAACCTCCTGTTTAACATTTTCTCTTAACATGCTTAATGTGTTGGGGGGTTTTCATGCACTTTGCCATATGTATACAAATGGTTGAGCATTGTGTGAGACAGGGATGCTAATTCAGCAACAGTGTAAAGCTTAATTTCATAAGGTAGAAGACATTGATACTTCATATCTTGTATACAAATGCCTCATGTTGTGAAGTTCCATATGGCATATGTCTTTTGTACTTTAATTCAGTGCCTGTTTAATAAAAATGTAAAGTTTCTTTAACAAATGATTTTCTCACTTATTTTGAGTAAAAGGATAACTGTATTTGGTATATAGAATCATTGCAAGGTTTACATGTCTGTCAGACAAGCTTGTCTGACCTTAACCTCATTTCATGGATCAGTGATTCAGGTTAAGTTTTGGTGGTTAGGTCTTATTCTCAGATAATATAAGCAATAAATCAGTGATATTGTTTGCCTCAAATTACATCCGAAATTCGGCTTTTTCCCCTAGAGAAAATTCCCAATTACTAAAAAAAATGACTTAAAATTCCTCCCAATAAGTTTTACATTTTTCCCAAAAGTGATGGCATTGGTATTAATGAATGTAAATTTCGTATTCATGTTATTATTTTGATATTATGAAAGCACTTTTGAGATCCAGGTTTCTGAACAGAATCATCACGGTGTTTGTAACACGTGGTTTTCAACGCATTAAGTACCATCATTGTTTCCGTCTCTTTCCCGTCCCCAAAAAGTACCTTTCATGTTTAAAATGTCTGACAATCAAAATATACGTGATAAAACTCTGAAAAAAAGACAGTAAAGTTTAGCAAAAATTCGGTGATGTGTTTAAAAAAAAAATAAACCAACTTCCCAATTTCAATAAAAATTATGCATTTTTCCCCAAAAAAAATGGTAGAGGTAGTTTTGAAAAAAGACAACAATATCACTGTTAATGAACTATGTTTGGTGTACAGAATGATTGAAATATGTACATGTGCGTCTGGCAGGGTTCATATGACTTCAACCTCCTTTTCATGGTTCATTGGTCAACACTTCATTTTGGTTGTTACGTCTTCCTCTTAGATATTATAAGCTTTAGGTGATTTATATTTGGTGTATGGAATGATTATAAGGTGTAAATGTCCGTCTCAGGAGAATTTGATCTCAAAGACTTTCAACATAAATTCAATCAGGCAATAAATTTCTGTATGTGCACTCTTGTTACAATATAATGTCACACTTTTTAATATTTGATTTGTTAAATTTTTTTTTTTGTTTGCAAAAGTTGTTTTAAATTTTAATGTTAATTCTTTAATTTTAGACTCTTGACTGCCACAAAAGGTCTTACAAGTCCTTCTCCTGATTGTCAACTTTTATTTGTCCTTTGTTCAGTAGTAAGATATATGGATCTGTGGTAAATGTAAATCATATAGAAATGATTGTAGATGATGACAGTGCTAGTGATACAGAAGCATCAGATGAGTCAGAGGACGAGGAATCTGATGAAAGTGATGAAATGTCTCATAGTGATGATAGTGGAGAGGAAGAAAGTGATCATTCATCGGGCAATGATTCCATAGACGAGGGGTTTCAAGATTCTAGTCCATCACTTGAAAAAAAGAAAAGTAAGTAATAGCTTTCATAAAAGAAATAATAGCTGAATACACATAGAAACATTTTTATCTTGAGACTTTTCACAGTAGTAAAAAAATATACATTAATGATGTCAAACTTGCTTATACCAGAAAAGTAAAAAGACTGACCAGCATTCTGATTGACTCCCTTAGAATTGGAATCAATGGCATATAAACTGTTTTAGATGAAATTTAAATGATTTGTATTGTAACTAGAGGAGCAGGAACTGCTAGCTCTTCTCAATTATCTGTGTAGTTTTGATAGCCATTCACATTTCACTTACTAGTAATAGAAGACACAGTTCAACAATTTCAATGGAATAGTGTATTCATCATTCATTTTGTATTTTCTTAATCAAATCATTACTGTAGTACAAAAGTCAAATACTACTAAAATGAATTAAAGAATTTGTGTGAGTTTCTCCATTATTTATTTCACTTCTAAAGGTCATTTTCAAAAGGCCCTTAAATCTTAATTTGAATTCACACTATCATAGCTTCAAATGTGTAGTTTAAGGTTCAAGTAATTAATTTCATGATTATGTACATTTAATCAATTTTTTTTGAATTCTCATAAATAAGTTTTTAGATTACAATATTATTAACTTATTCTATTTATTTACAGGAGTACAGAGAGATGACACTGTAGAAGATGGACGTACATTATTTTTAAGGTTGTAAAAATATATTGTTTATTGGTTTTTGTCCTGTAAAGTGTGAAGAATATCTAAAGACCAAACAGCCTATTGTTTATGCGCATCAACTACTGCAGCTTGGTAATGACGTAAAAACTCTATGACGTTGAAAAAAAACGTCAAATTATAACGTCCTATTTCGCATTTTTCACGGATTCCAACATGGTGTACGCTTCAAAATATGTCTTCCAAGAAAAGTGGAATTAAGCGTCGCGCTGATATCTAGTTAAAATTAAACACAAATGGACACAAAAGATACTTCACTGTACGCAACCTCTGTTCTAATAAAAATAACAAAATACAAATTGTGAACTTGGCTTTTTGCATTTGCGCCGATCTGCATTTCACTTTTTATTCTTTCACTTGCGCGGATAATGTCTTTCATTTGCGCCGATTGTGAACAGGTTAATTATAGGAGATTTTTTTTTATCATATAAACCTATTCCGTTAGTCAGTTGTACATATGTTATGAATTGTCAATTATAACATGTATATAAATGCTGTCCCCTGCTGAGTATTTATATGCTCAACATCTGATATATTTCTTTCTTGTCATTTCATCTTTTCTATACTTGTACTTGCCAACAACAAAGTCCATCTTTTCTTTCTCGTGTCAAAACGAAGTTCTCGAACAATATATCTTAAACAAAAGGGAACACTGTTTATATCCATATATTACCAATATACATTCTAGGTTTACTACATGTACATGTATTTACTCGTATAGCAAATATAGTATATAGCAAGTGATAAAAAGAATAAAAAAGGCGCTAATGAAAGAATCAAATCGGCTCAAATTAAACATCGATTTTTTTTTTAAAAATTGGCGCAAATCTCGTACACCAGTGTAACTTTACACTGGTATATTTTAATGACTTACGCTTAGAATTTGCACTTATGTGATTTTCAAAATTGAGTTTTCAGAAGGTTAGGCCGATAAACAATACTTTCTAGAAGTTTCGATATACTGGCAACGAATGCATGTTGGGATTAACTTATTTCTGGATGATTTTCGTAAATTAATGTCTGATCTTGCAATGAAGTTAAATAATTGATAAAGGTTCATTGTCTTTTGTTATTTGTTTAATTTCAAATTGTCTTAAGGAGAAATAATAAAGATTTCGCCTGATCTAAATGAAGCTTAAGTAAAAAAATATAAGAAATTAATACTCAGTGAATGAGAATTCCAATCAAAATTTACGGTATTTAAAACTAAACTTGTTGTAAAAACTTTAATATGACAAAAACAATTGCTTCAAGAATAAGATCCAACATAAAATTTCTCACTTTTAAAAAGCTACAATGACCGGAAAGATTGAAAACAGATTTCGATTTTCAATGCCGGCAATCTATACATACAACCTTGTCTTTGTTTTAATTTCCAAAACGAGTAATTTAGATTCATAATATTTCATCCTGTTTTGAGAAATACTTTATAGTTTTCACGGAAAATTATTTCTTAGATTCTAAATTAATTTTTTAATTAAAAACTTATTTGTATTTTATATTTACTGTCTCGTTTATTCAAGACACGTGAGGTAGTAATAACGGGGATCGTATTTTATGATATGTATAACGTTTTAGAATCGAAAACTTTAATCCATATATTATACCTATAATTTTAATCTCCTTAATTTTTTAATATTCAGAAATAATGAATCCACAAACTAGATGGAATAGTTTGCATACGCTCGTCTTAGTCGGGACACATAATGGTATAAAGAAGTCCATTCTTCTGTCAACAGTGGCGAAGGAGTGCGCTAGGGCAAACTTCTGAAGAAAAAAAACCCACACATCTAGTCTAATATAGTCAAATAGTCTGTAAGATAGCCAGTGTCATCTTTCATTTCTCTTTTTATTTTCAATTATTTTGCTAATGAGAGGGAGAGGACAAAAATAGACTTTCCTTTCTAAAGCGACATAAAAGGTTATTTCGACGGATGGTGTTTCTGAAAGTTAATTTTATGCGGCAACAACATCATGAGATCTGATACTGATACATACATGTGATCTCTTGTATTACCGGAAAATAAAGTAGGTGAATATAGTTGTTATTCTTGATTTTGGAAATTTAAATGTGGGTTTCAAACGTCCAATTTGCTATTTTTTTTAAATAGTGCGCCAGCAAGGAAAACTTGTACTATGACATCAGATTCGGTGTTCTGAAGAAAGACAACTCTTTTCTTCAAAACGAACGAGAAAAAAAACATGAAAATTACTCAAAACTTTTTTGAAAGGTCAGTGACATATACTTTTTTTGGCTTCATTTTGAAAAGTACAGATGGCACTTTCCTTCTTGAAATTTTAATGAAGAAATATTTTTTAATACTGAAAACGTTTTTCATTCTTACGTTTTATTTTTGCGAGAATGAAATAAATCATATTTTTTAAGATCAAAACAATAAGAGTCTTAAACTCTTGAACCTGTATTTGATAGACACAAATCTACTGTTTAACGTGAAACAAGAATTATGCTTGTAGGTTTGATATAATGGGATTTTTTGAGAGTTTAAATAACAACCAAATATCATGGTAATATTCGGGAAAACACGAAACTGAGGTTGCTAAAGTGACAAAACTAAGTCGGTGACACCCAATTTTTTTCATCATATTTTGTTCCTCAAATCATGAAATACCTTCACACAAAATTTTATGGAAAAATCACTGGTAGAACTGAATAGGCTGTTTGGTCTTTAAGAGACCTTCTAAAAAATTTTAGCATGCCTGTTTCTTTAAAAAAAATTTGAAAAAAAGATCTTTGATTTTCGGTCATATGATGTAGATCCAATAATTTGCTACACTACAAAGGTGCAATGAATATAGATTTTACCACTGCATAAAATGTGTTACAATATTTTTCCATGTGAGACCAGTTAAATTTTCATATTTAAAAGGTGAGGCTTACCATGCTTTTTAAATATTTAAAATTTAACTGCAGAGAGTGAAAAAATATCTTATTGCACAAGTTTCGTTGGCCGAATCTCTTTCTCTAACAAATTTGGACTACATGTAGACTATCTTTATCTTTCATTTTTCAATAAGCTACAAAAAATGTGTTCTTTATATGTGACGTCATCATGCATGGTCACCTTTTCATACCTGCCAACTTTTCAAAATCTCCATAGGGGATTTTATGTGCAAGAAGACCTTATTAATGCTCCTCTTATATTGTCATAAGTGTTTTTAATCTAATACTATATTGTTTGAATGAGTATTTATGTGATTAAATGCACCATTTTTTAATCAAATGAATGCCTGTTTTGAGGTGTTTAAGTTTATATAATAAAGAATTTCAAAATTCAGGTGACATCTCTCATGGGGGGAATCCCCCATAAATCGTGAAAGTTGGCATGTGTGCTTTTTTAGTGACAGTACAATAGGAAATTCAGAGAAAAATTAAGAAAATTTGATGTCATATGTGAATTTTAACAAATGAAGAAATGAGTTCAAATGAACCACAAGTTGATTAAATAAAAGTAATCAACTGGTTTGGAAAAGTATAAATGTGATAAAAATGAGAGAAATTAAATTTATATTGTTAATAAAAAGTTTAAACAGATAACTCTATATTTATTGTATTTTATTATTTCAGAAACCTGTCTTATGATACTGGAAAAGAAACATTGAGTGAAGTAATGTCAGAATTTGGGAGAGTCAACTATTGCCTGATTGTTAGTGATCCAAAAACAGAACATTCAAAAGGTGAACAATTTGTAACAATTTATAAACAAAACTTGGTATTATAGTAAATGACATAAATCCTATAGGATCACTTGTAAACCTGCTTTGGCAATTGCTTTGAATCAACTTTTGATTTCTACCTTTCAAATCACTTCTATCTTGAATGTCATTTTCTATCAGTAACAATGTGTACAGGTGAGAGACCTTTAAAAACTATAGAAGAAAGGAAGAAATTGTAGTCAGCAAAATTGATCAGTGAATACAAGATCTACAAAAATGCAAATATGATAAAAAATATGAAGCCACTTCCTCTAGGAATAAAACGAAGATTTTTTGACAATATCTTGTTTTTATACGACCGTAAAAAAAAATTTTGCAGTCGTATATTGGTATGACGTTGGTGTCGTCGTTGTTGTCGTCCGAAGACACATTGGTTTTCGCACAATAACTTTAGTTTAAGTGAATGGATCTCTATGAAATTTTACCATAAGGTTCAATACCACAAAAGGAAGGTTGAGATTGATTTTTGGGGTTATGGTACCAACAGTTAAGGAATTAGGGGCCAAAAATAAGCATTTTTCTAGTTTCCAGACCATTACTTGTGGAACGGTGTATGGATCTCTCTGAAATTATACCACAAGTTTCCATACCATAAAGAGATGGTTAGGATTGGATTTGGGGGGTTATGGCTCAAACCGTTGAGGAATTAGGGGCAAAAAAGGGGGAAAAACAAGGGTGTCCTGGTTAATGGACAAATACTTTAGTACAAAACATAATTTAAAGCAGTGTAAGGGTGGTAATTCAAATACATCATTTGAATTACCTCCCTTACACTGCTTTTAAATTATGTATAGAGTAATGGCTAATGAACAATTAAGACAATTTAAAAGCAGTGTAAGGGAGGTAATCGAAATACAACATTTGGTTAATACGCAACAGCATAGTGTATTGCACAAAAGCAAAAAAAAAAATGGGGTGTAAATTTTTTATTATTTTTTTTGTGGAGGGGGGAGGGGGGTCAATTCGCAACAGCAAAGTGTATTGCACAAAAGCAACAAAATTGAATATAAATTCAAATCATATAACCAATTCTAAGTTCTTTTGACTACAGTTATTCTGTGTCAGAAACCTTTTATGTGTCAAATATTTAATTACAATCCAAATTCAGACCTGTATTAAGCGCGAATATTGCGTCCATTTTTGCCCCAACTGTTCAGGGTTGGACCTCTGGGGTCGTATCCAGCTGCGCTCGGCGAAGCAATTTATTGCCTATTATCTTGATTTTTTATTATAGAAAGCAGGAAATGTAACCCAAAAAATAGATCAACAATACAAGATAAAAAAAAAACTTGAAGGAAATTTCGATTGACTCCTTATAGGAGTTATTGCTCAAAACAAGGATTATTGATTAATTTTAGTGTGTTTTCCAATAACCGTGGAAGCTATAAAAGATAGATAGAAACTATAAACAGCAAAAGTGATTGTATTACAAGATCTACAAAAACTGCAATTTGACTGGCTTGTATTTATTGCCTAGCCAATATAAATTGAAAGTTCTTTGACTACAGTTATTCGGTGTCAGAAACCTATTATGTGTCTAATATTTAATTACAATCCAAATTCAGACCTGTATCAAGCCTGAATATTATGTCCATTTTCGCCCCAACTGTTCAGGATTGTACCTCTGCGGTCGTATCCAGCTGCGCTCAGCGAAGCATTTTATCTTTATATAGTGGAACGTTTTTTTTGTTATCTGTAAAATTAATAGGTGTTGATTGCAGTAGATCTGTGGTAGTCTCTGTTTAAATTTTTACAACTTTTCTAGATTCAATTCAAACTTGATTTGATTTATCTGAGACATTTTCTATGCAGCTCTCCAGATGTCTTTTTGTTGTCAAAGTGGGTTCTCATAGACATATACCCAATGTCTCTGTTTATTCATATTTATTGACAGTTTGAGCTGTTCTAATTAGGCAGTTTTCACATTTCAAAACTTTTGGCCTTATGCATTTTACTTGAATGTGCTGGGTTTTGGAAAATCATTTATTGGTCCAATAAAGGTGAAAATAAAAATCGAAAGGGTTCAGGGTTTGTACGGTTTACCCTGTATGTTAACAGAAGTGATAAACTATCTATTTATTTTACAGGTTCAGGGTTTGTACGGTTTACACTGTATGTTAACAGCAGTAATAAACTATCTATTTATTTTACAGGTTCAGGGTTTGTACGGTTTACACTGTATGTTAACAGAAGTCATAAACTATCTATTTATTTTACAGGTTCAGGGTTTGTATATGTTAACAGAAGTGATAAACTATCTATTTATTTTACAGGTTCAGGGTTTGTACGGTTTACACTGTATGTTAACAGCAGTAATAAACTATCTATTTATTTTACAGGTTCAGGGTTTGTACGGTTTACATTGTATGTTAACAGCAGTAATAAACTATCTATTTATTTTACAGGTTCAGGGTTTGTACGGTTTACACTGTATGTTAACAGCAGTGATAAACTATCTATTTGTTTTACAGGTTCAGGTTTTGTACGGTTTACACTGTATGTTAACAGAAGTCATAAACTATCTATTTATTTTACAGGTTCAGGGTTTGTACGGTTTACACTGTATGTTAACAGAAGTGATAAACTATCTATTTATTTTACAGGTTCAGGGTTTGTACGGTTTACACTGTATGTTAACAGCAGTAATAAACTATCTATTTATTTTACAGGTTCAGGGTTTGTACGGTTTACACTGTATGTTAACAGCAGTAATAAACTATCTATTTATTTTACAGGTTCAGGGTTTGTACGGTTTACACTGTATGTTAACAGAAGTAATAAACTATCTATTTATTTTACAGGTTCAGGGTTTGTACGGTTTCAGACAAGTGAAGCAGCAGAAGCTTGTTTACAGAAATCTGACGATAAGGTAAGGGATCATAGATTTATTCTTAGGAGGAAGCTCCGAGCATGCTCGGAGGATGCTCTGAGCTTTTTAAGTAGGCTCTTCTCAGCAGAACAAGATCATTCTTTTTCAATACACATGATACAAAAAAAAACACTCAACTTTTATATTTAAAATATCAATATATTTTAAATTTATACTATATAAAATTAAATATAAAAGTCATCAAAGACACAAACTATGGTAATGGATTTATAACCATACAACCAAAACATAGTACATTCAGTTTCATGTGAAAAAGGGTTGATCTTTTTTAATATTCCATGTAATTCGACAGTTGTTTGAAATTAACCCTCCATTTCATTGCAGAAAAGTTTTTTTGAGTCGTAAACATGTATCTTGGGTGTTTCAAAGCAATAAAAATATACTATATTCTACAGGGAAAAAAGGGGGAGAGAATTTGATTGGTTAACTTCTGGTGATTTTAACTTAAAAAGTTATGCTATATTTTCACTGTAGTACAGGACAGGATAAAACTTTATTTATGTCAAGTATTTCTTTATTTAAAACATAGATAAATTCTGCACATTTTTTTGAAATATAACAATCATGACAATTAAACAAAGACTTATAGGGGGAAAATAATTATACTCATGCCAAGAATTTATTTATTTAAAACAAAGCTAAATCTGCACAATTAGAAAAAAAAGCCCAAGTAAAGAGAGACGTACTAGAGGGAAAACAATGGTGGTATTACCCCCTCAAACCAGGCTTCCACTAATGAATTACAACTTTTCTTAAAGTAGCCATAATTTTCCATAAAAGAACTTAGTTTACTATTTAAAAAAAACATATTACCATTGTTTAGTTAGGGGCATTATTTAAACAAGTAATTTTCAAAATTACCTATACAAGTTATGTTGAAAACGAGGCTGTTTCAAATATTACTTCTATATCATGAATACGTAACTTCTGTTAATATTATTTTTACAGGTGTCCATTCATACAGGTTTTACTAGCTTTAACAAATTTTCACAGACATTTGGTTATTTTCCCCATGAAATATACTGGTAAAACTATTTAAATCCTCAACAAGCACTAATTGCTTTTCTGATGCCACACTTCTTGGTCAAAGATTGGCCTCTTGGGGCTATTAAAATATCATTTCCCCTTAAAATCTTAGAGATAGACAGTTATAACTAGATATGGAACCTTTAATTAAGACTTGAAGTTATTTATAATTTGAATCTTAATCAAAAGCAATTACTTATATTCCTTTAATAATTGTAAGTACTAAGTTTTTTGAAGTTGTATAAAATAATTTATTAATTAAAAGTAATATTTTTGTCATTATTTTTTAAAGTAACCTCTCTATACTCATCTCAAATTGGATAAATACTTAATTTTATTTAATGAAATGATATAAAATTCTTAAAAACTACATTTAGTCAATGCTTTATTTGACATTTAAAATATCTATTGAGTTATTAAATAATTTTTAAAAACAAAAAATACTTATAATTAAAGTGACTAAAAAATTACTTGTTTAGTATCACCACCAGACTGTTGTTTGTGTCTTGATAACTTTTATGTAGCATATTATATAATATAAACTATTTTTAAATCATATCATCTAATTATAAAGTTTGAGATTTTTATTATTATTATAAAAAGAAATGATTATTAAATATAATAAGAAAATATTTAAATGACTTTTACTTTTTGTGGAGACTTGAGATTTCTTTCCAAGCATTACACAGCACTGTTGAAGAATTTCTTATCTATTTTATAGTTTTATAAAATTTCATGCAAAATGTATTTGAATAGACCAGATGTTTACACAGGTGTTAATGGAGCTTCCTCTATAATGCTCTACTTTCCTTATCATAGAAGTGGTGTAGATTTGATTGACATCTTAATGGATCATGATAATTATTGTCACATTAACTGCTGAGAAGAGCCTACTTAAAACGCTCCGAGCATCCTCCGAGCATGCTCGGAGCTTCTTCGTGAGAATAAATCTATGATCCCTAAAGTAATATAAAGTTAGGATTGCCAGTACCTTGGTACCATGACATATTTTTTTCAATCAACAAATTCAAAATTTAGTATTTTGCTCAGACAACCTTCTATTCCATAATATTTTTTTTCAATATGGATTGTTGTAATATTGTAGTATAGTTGGTTAAAGCCTTATTTAAAAGGCACATTTATATAGTCCCAGTTTTGTACAATTTTGTTGAAACTTTTGACAAATGTATACAATTTTGCATTACAGGGTGGAGGAATTATTGTTGATGGTCGTAAACTTCTGATAGCCAAAGCTGTAAGCAGACAGAAAGCCACTGAATTGGCAAAGAAAGAAGAAAAAGTCAAAGAGGATAAAAGAAATTTACATCTTGTCAGGGAAGGATGTAAGCTACAAATACAATATCAAATTGTCTTATTTTGTTTTCCAGATATTTTCGTTTGACAATATCCATTTAGGAAAAGTAATTCTCACTCGTGTGATGAAGGGAAAAATGAGTCATTATCAACAAATAAAACAATGTCCTATTTCCATAGAACAAGATATCAAACTGGCTTGTAATCAAGATTCTGTGTTTATAAATGATGTAGCTGAAGCGAATAATTGGGTCTGAATACAATTTTATATATATAGTAAAGAAAAAGTGTAATGCTAACAGGACACATTCTTACAAAAACTGAACTATAACAGTATATAAGGAACTATGAAATAAACTATCATGATCACAGAATTAATTTCAAGTCAAGGTATTGCCAGGTGTATGTCTGTTTGTGAACTGATTGTTTGATAAGGTTTGATTGAATAATGAATAAAGAACATTTTGTATTTTCTAACAAGCTTATACATTATTGCAATATATTTTAGTAATACGAGGAGGAACTAAAGATGCTATTGGTCTTTCTAAACAAGACATAGAAAAAAGACAGAAGGTAAGAGGAGATTTTAGATTTACTAATGTTCTGAGAATTTATTAAAATTATATGTTTCTTATATATTATATATCAGTGCTAAAGAACATGACACATTTAACAAACTATCAACACTTAAAACCCTTTGAATGGGGTAGGGATATATAAGTCCCTTGTCAGCAGACAGCAGTAGGGACATAGATGTCCCTTTTTGAAATTTGTCTAAAAATTTTCCAAAGAAATAAAAGAATAATTACAAAATTTTACTACTTGTATGAAACATATATAGTCATATATAATAACAGATATGGCGTAAAAAAAATCAGTTTCAAGAGGTTTTCCTAAATCCTATGTACAACATAAAAGATAAATTATGCATAGGACATGACGATCATTCTAAAAACGTTACGTTCAATGTGTTAAAAACTTGTAATCAATATATAAAATATTGCCTCTTTATTTTGTATTGATTTCTTATCAATTATCTTTTAACTTACATTAGATTATCATTCCAAATAATAAGAATCTGTTTAAGATAACTATCGGTACTTTCATTTGGAAAGCCTTTTTAACGCCTCCGTCATAGGATACAGTGGTATTAAGTGTTACCCTTGACTGTCAGTCCTTCCATCTTTCTGTCCGTCCATCCATCCGTCCCATTTTTTGTTTGGAAAGCCTTTTTAACGCCTCCGTCATAGGATACAGTGGTATTAAGTGTTACCCTTGACTGTCAGTCCTTCCATCTTTCTGTCCGTCCATCCATCCGTCCCATTTTTTGTTTGTTTGAAGTTGAGCGGGGGCATTTGTGTCCTCAAACACATTCTTCTTTTATTTCTTTTTTATTTGTGTATTGTAGATTGAAAATTCCAAGAGACAGAGATTGAAAAATCCCAACATATTTGTATCAACCACCAGACTTTGTGTTCATAATCTACCTAAATCTATTGATGAGAAGGAATTGAAAGCAATCTTCCTGAAGGCTGCTGGCAAAAAAGCTAAAATTACAGAGGTATTTTAAAATATTAAAAGTAATTTGCACTTTGTTTATTTTTTTTATGATTATTCTCTTTATGACAAAATCTATGACCTTGGATCTGTTAACCTTGCCAAAAAGATATTTTGCTACAAGATGTTCACGCATGTTTATTCATAGACATTCTTGAAGTTAAAATTTCTTTTTGGGTAAGGCCTTGGCTCAAATTGTATTGGGGCTTTGATAACAGACTGAGCTTAGTAGTACATCTTCATCTTCATCTCAACTATAATGATTTGTTTAGGATCTGTCGGGACACCTGCTTCCTGTTTTCCAGTACTTTGAATTAAGAGTGGATTATGCTTAACACAACACACATGCATTCTTAGTTAATTTTGCAATACATATACAACCTTGTTATCAGAGAAGTACCTGAATAATATACAAATGTTATGATAAGATTATTGTATTTTCTTTAGTGTCGGATAATGAGAGACACAGAAAGAGTGAATACAAAGGGTGTGGCAAAGTCCAGAGGATATGCTTTCATCAATTTCAGTGACCATCAGCATGCGGTAGAAGCCTTGAGGAAAACAAACAACGATCCTGATCTCTTCAACGATAATAGGGTACGTTAAACAGTCAAACGTTTATACATAGATTCTACCACTACATCAAGTTTCTCCATTTGAGAAAGTTAAATTTCAAATTTAAAACTCGAGGCTTTCTGAGCGTTTTAAATATTTAGAATTTAGCTGTTGAGAATGAAGAAACATCATATTGAGTGAGATTCAGTGGTGGTATCTTTTTATGCCCCACCTAGGGGCATTATGTTTTTCGGTCTGTGCGTCCGTTCGTCCGTCCGTCCGTCTGTCCCGCTTCAGGTTAAAATTTTTTGGTCAAGGTAGTTTTTGATGAAGTTGAAGTCCAATCAACTTGAAACTTAGTACACATGTTTCCTATGATATGATCTTTCTAATTTTAATGCCAAATTAGAGTTTTGACCCCAATTTCACGGTCCACTGAACATAAAAAATGAATTTATGAATTATGCGCAAAAAGATGTGTTCTTTTAATCAGACATCATCAGGCATGGTCCACTTTTTTTGTGACATCACAATAGCAAATTCTAAGAAGCAAGAAAATTTGATGTTCCAATTGAATTTGACCAATGAATAACTGAGATCAAACGAATCACACATTGATTATAAAAAAAAAATTATCAACCCGTCGGGGAAGTATAAATCGGGTAAGAATTAGAGTAAAACATTTACATACTACATGAACAAAGTGTTTATATGGTGTTAGTTAAACAAGAAATATGAAATAAATAACAAAATATGGTGATATGATCATTAACTACAATCTACCAAATAAAAGTCTGTCACTAGAGATATTTCAACAATGAATACCAAGCCTACACTGTGCAGTGAGCTTTATATACATCTTGGAAGTTTGTTTATGTCTATCTGACCTATGTCTCAGGTTTTCATCCTTATGATATTACATTAAAATCTGCTTTAGGATTTAATTTCATTCCAGTTCTAACATACCATTACAGTTGAAAAGTCCATCATTAAATGCACATTGATATTTTAATTAAAAGTACATGCTTATGTTACAGAGGCTTATAGTTGAATTTTCATTGGAAAATAAGAATGCCCTGTTGGCTAAAGAGAAGAGATTGGAAAGATTCCAGGTATGTTACAAGTCTTTGTTCAGGTTATCAGCATTTATGATAACTTTCTAATTTTGAATCATTTTCAGAAAATTTGAAGTAAATTTTACATTTTCTCCACTTTTGTAGTGCTATTTATTTTAACAAATTTACTGCAAATTTATTATGAACCATTGTATTAAAGATTTGAGGTTAAAAAATGGTACACGATTATAGCATTATTGAAACACGATCTTCTGTGAGGTTATATTGAGTTAACATTGTAATGTTTGCAGGCAATGATTGTATCAGTTTGATGTATTAAAATAGCTAATTCATGAGTATATGAATTAAAGTAAGTCTTCTGTCAAAATGACTAAAAAGACTATGTAGCTCTTTCAACAGAACAGATTTATCTAGAAATGATAGTTTTGGAGTTTGAATTTGATAATCTTTCTGGTGAAACAGTATTGAAAGCAATTTGTAATTTTTTGTTCAAACATGCATTGTAATTTTTAATCTTATTTGGTTTATAAGGTAAATAGAAGGGATAAAATTATATTTTTAGGCAAGACAGAAAAATCTAAAACAACAGAAATCAGTAAAAACTGATGATACTACAAATGAAAAAGACACAGTAACAAACAGTAAGAAGGAGAGAAAAAAGAATAAGATGGGTAAACAAAAGGAGAAAATAACAGAAAGGTACATTGGAAATGTCAAGTTACCTGACGGCAGCAGTATAAAAAATATTCTTCCTACTCACTATGGACCAAAAGTCAGGCACAAACCTAGACCACAGACAGGACAGCAACACCAAGGAAAACACAGACCTCAGACAGAACAGCAACACCAAGGAAAACACAGACAACAGACAGAACACAGACAAGAGATACACAAGGAGGTACTATAAAAATACTTTAATTTATGGGGTACAAATTTAAGTGAATAAATCAAAATCCTAAATCCTTAATTTTAGTACTCTATGAAATGCATCTTTTTCCTTACTAATGTGATTAAAGCATGCATTAAAAAAGCCTATGCAATAGATCACAAAAAACAGAATACAAGAATAAATGCCTTTACAGTCAATATATATTTAGAAGCCTCAAAGTCCTTTTCTAAAATCTGTGTCCTATTGTTACGTCATTCGCAGTCTATGTCCGTTTAAAAAGTACTACTTCAAATCTGTGTCTAGTTTTATGATGATGATGATGGATGGCTGAATAAAGTCCAGCGGCAAATTAATATGCATATTCAGGACGAGAACATTTTAATGTAATATGAATATGAACCCTGCTTTGTACTAGACCGACACGCTGAGCCGGATTTTTAACGTGCTAGTTCACAAAGTAACAGTCCGCAGGAAGACTATCACCTTACCCTGACACATTATTCTGACTCCCAGCCGACCAGTCTTTGCTCTTACTCCTTAATGCTGGGTGCTTAGCGGAGAAGCAGCAAATACCAATTTTAAAGTCTTTGGTTTGACTCGGCCGGGGTTCAAACCCACGACCTCCTGCACTCGAGGCGAACAAGCTACAACAAGACCACCGTCTAGTCCTTATGTCATTAGCAAATCTATGTCCGTGTAAAAAGTCTATGTCCTCTAAACTTATTAAACCCACAATTCAATTATCTAGCCAAATGTGTCCTCAATCCTTTTGCGATGAGGTTTATTAATGCCAGAATCCTGTAAGAAAAGACTGCCATGAGATCTAACTGATATTTTCCCCAACAAGCATGTTAAGCACCTTCTTTGTTTTCAGGCAATTTCCATACATCTGTTTTATTTTCTCCAAAAATAGGACTTTATTATATTTATTTTTTCCTCTTGCTTTATATACTGTATCACTCATCTACGATAGTGTCCTGCTCCACCATCGTTCTTTTGCGGCAAGGACATCATATACTTCTGACTCTGACTTTAATGTGTTTTTTGCAAAGTACATATATTTGAGGAAAGGTAGGACATAGATTTGGGCATCTATGATGCAATATAAAAAAGGACAGATTTGAGGAAAGGACATAGATTTGAGTCCTGACATAGATTTGAGGCTCATATATATTCTGAATGAATTGATGTTTTAGGCATCTGTGTTTGTATAGATGTTGTCATTGCATGTTCTTTGTTTAATGATTTGTTATTTTAAATCTTCTACTTGTGTACATATTTTTGTATGTACCATTTTACTTGTTTAACTGCAAAGATTAATATATTGATAACAATTAATTCTAAAAATATTTAAAGAACTGGTTTTTTTTTCTGTTCATTAACAGTAAAGCTTAATCACTGAATTAATTAGGGAGTAATTTTAATATCTTCTGATCAGTCTAAATTACTGTCCATTCATCCATCTTTCTTATAATCTTGAAATTTATACATCTGTATTCAAAACCATGTATTAGTGTAATACATTAACTCATCATAAATACCAGGCTTTAAATTTTGTATGACAGATGTGTGTTTGATCTACAAAAGAATCATCAGTGATGCTTAAATAAAAAAAGTTAAAATGGCAAAATAATGTACGAACTTGAAGAGTATTGATGACCCAAAATTCTGAGAGGTTTTGCCAAATACAAATATGTTATCATAATCTATAATACTTATAAATGAAAAAAATCACTTCTAAACCAGAATACTGTAAAATTAATTCAGAAAAATTTGCGATGTTTTTGTTTATGTTTTTGCGAAAATTGCAACGGAATAGAGATCACAAAAGTAAAAACTTGTATTTTAAATTCTGATAGCATTATTTGTATGAAAAATTTACTGAAATCACAATATTTAATCTCATAATTTTGTCCATTGTTCAAAAAACGCAATAATAAATGCATGCAAAAAATTCTGAATTTACAGTTAGCAATAAGAAATTTGACAATACATACATAAGGGTAGCTTAAATATAATATAATTGTTGATAGAATGCTTTAGGATAAAATTTGGCCAAATATCAAGTAATCAAAATATCAGAAAGTTTTTTTTTTTAAAATAAAAAAATACCACAAAACTGATTCGTCATTTATTCAAGTGTATAGTCATAAGATAAACAGATGGAATATTTCAATCATGATATCGTCCTGAATATGCATGAAATATTTGCCACTGGACGTTAAGCAACCAACAATCAATCAATCAATCATGATATTGTAATTAATCTTTCATTATATTTCAGAGTCCAGTTAAACAGAAAAAGAAAAAGAAGACAATCAAAGTAGACAATTTTGATAAACTTGTGAACTCGTATAAACAGAAAATTATGTCCTCTAAAGCAACATCTAAATGGTTTGATAATTGAAACGATTTTATTTTAACATGTAAAAATAAATATTTATTGTTTAAGTATTGTTTTTAGATAACTTCTGTATTAGTAGTAAAATAAAAACAGTAATTAATTATTCACTTGTTATCCCTCGGATCAACAATATTTGGGGTGGATATAGTGTTTCATCCATTAGTTTACATTTGCTTGTTAGTTCATTTGTTAGTTTGTTTCTTTGTTGGTAGGCCTACCTGGATGAAGGGCAGGGAATTTGTGCTGCCACTGGCAATGAAGTAAGTTGGATGGGGCAGACATTTTGCAATTTTACAGACCCCTCAAAAGAGTTGTTGCAATGGTTCTTTAACTTGCAGAGAGAATGTTACCCTGCCTACACGAATCTGACATAGCTGCAAATTTATACATTCCACACAGCTAAAACAGATGCCCCACTTTAGCAAGGGTTTTACCTCCTAAACAGGAGAAGTCCTTGCATGACCTTATTGCTATAGCCCAGTCAATGCTTTAGTTTCTGTAATTGATTGATTGATTGATTGATTGTATGTCGCTTAATGTCCAGTGGTTAATATATTTTGTGCAGCTCGGGACAATTTTGTTAGTTGATGCATCATGTGATGAATGTCCAAACTAAAATTAGTTCACCTTGACCTTCATTAATGACTCATGTAAATAAAAAAATTAAGACAGTTGATAATTGGCATGGGAATAAGCTGTCTTTAACGAAGGTTCCTCTTTTTTTTAATTTCAAGTTCTCCCTGTTTTAGCCTTAAATGGGATGAGAATGAGTACATTAGAATTCTGATAATGTTTGCCCAGAAGAGGAGGTTATAATTACCTGTTTGACCACACTTATTTCATTATACAAGAAACTTCACTTGGATAGTCAGCAATTTACTTTATTTTTTTGTTTCTTGGTCCACTGTCAAATGATATCATGACATAGCTAAAATATGTTTCTCTTAAAATGACCAAAAATTAAATATTACAAGATGAGTAAAACCAGTGAGTTTAAAGTGCGCAAACCATATTTCTTGAATGAACACTTGCACTATAGAGTTAACTCCCCTAGAATATTAGCATTAGTATGAAGAATCAAATTTCAGCAGCGTTTCATTGTAGTCTACTTAAAAAAAAAAGATATTGAACTTATTTTAATATTAAAAGCAATATTCAAATAAAGAGATGTATATACAGGAATATTGGTGCATCTGTTAATGCAAATAAATTTGACTTTGGGAAATCAAACTGTATTTATCCTCCATAAGCATAGTGATCAATCACCACAATCATCTTCAAACACTGTTATGATTACTGAAAAGTGGACTTTTTGAAGAATTTTATTTTTTCAGTAAGTAAAACAATTATTCGGTTGCTACTAGACTTTGATTAAATTATGTATTTATTGTCCAGAAAACCTAATCCCTATTAAGATTACTTTCACCTTTATGAAATAGAAAAAAAAGATCATAGTTTACTATATAAATTATAAACTTATAAAATTAAAAGCTGCAAAATTTTAGTAAATATTTTATATGAATTATGATTGATGACTTCAACTGTCTATACGCATGGATTTAACTGTGGCTGAAAATTGAGCATATGAATTTTATAACAAAAATTAAAAATCGTGTCATCATGATTGTCATGTCTCCTTTAAATAAAAATTAAGGCCTTCTAATTTACCAAGCTGTTACATAAATTTTAATATGGCGATGGTACTCTTTCAAAATAATCTGACTATACTCCATCATTATTGTGTTTGTAACATTTGTTTGTATTGAGTTAGAGCTATGCAGAGACATGCATTTTTAGCTCAACTGGCTTAAAGGCCATTTTAGCTTTTCTCATCACTATGCCTCCATCAGTCGTCTTAAGATCTTCTCCTCTGAAACTGCTCAATTGCTTGAAACCAAAGTTTGTCTGCTACACCTGTAAGATTTCAACTATAAATTATGTGATTTTCTTCCAGTTTGATCAACATACATGGCTTCCTTGTCTTAAAATAAGACAAAAGGGGCCGAACAACACTTTTATTTATATATCTAAAACTAAAGCAATTAGAGAAAAAAACTGATAGGTAAAAATGGTCAGCTTAACAAATTCTATATATCCTGAAAATTGTGGGAAAAAATCGTTCCACCTGTTTTGGAGTTATCAAACCTGAAAGCATTTGAAAAGCTCCATAAAATGAAGGAATCACACCACTAGCAGCTGAATGTTTGCACAGTGGAGAATATTTTCAACAGAATCAATATAATTGCATGATGATGTAAACATATCGTAATGAAATTTCACAGCTAAACAAATAATTGATGACCCATGCTCTTCTAAATGTACCGAATCAACATTAGGAGTGCTTAAAGCTATTTAATCCTTCTTTAACATTCTAAAAATCAATTGATGGCACTATAAACGTACTGGAAAAGAGTTTATATTTATCTGAATGTTTTAAAATTGTTCTAGATTATGTTTTATTTGTTACAGTCATTGCAAGGTCATATATTTAGTAGTATGACCTAGTGACTAGATGAAACTGATCTCGAACAAACCATTCAGAATTGTTAATTGTTGGTCTTTATCGTCAAATTCATCTATATCGCTGTTGAACCGACTAGAAGTATTTAGATAGCTGCTGTCAAAAAATAATCTCAGAAACAATTTCACATTAAATCTGTTCTGATACTACTATAACCCTGTGATAGGCAATCTCAGACCGAATCAACCTTTATGTTTTCCCGTACTGTTTGTGTAGCTACTGTTATAGATCTACTCTGAATTTCAAAAGTTCCGGTAACCAATATGGTTTGATGTGTAAATAACAGTATATTATTCCCACCCATAAATGTTTGAAAGTGCAAAATTAAACGTGGATAGAAATGGGGGCCAAGAATAGGTGGTGTGCGACTTATTAGAATTTTAGTACACAAACTGGCCTAAAATTGAGAGAATGATGTGGCACACATAAGAGAAGTTATCTCACTAATAAGTACACCATAACTTTAAAAATACAAAAGAGCACACCCCTCATTTTCTTGGCTCATTGGTCAATGTTAACTTTGTGTTTTGGTCAGGTTCGAATACTATATTAAAGCAGTAGGTCAACTATATTTGGTGTATTGAACATGTCTGTCTGGTAAGTATAAAATCGGACCGTGACCTCAGTGTCACAGATCTTTAAATATGTTAAGTTTATGTGATACTTGTAGTAAAACCTTTATCTTTAAGACTTTCAACATAAAATCAATGGGCAGTAAAACAGGCGAGACATTTCAGCATGTGCACTCTTGTTTATACCTCTAAACTGAAGCAGTTAGAGAAAAAAACTGACAAGGTCAAAATGGTCAACACAACAAGTTCTATCTAGCCTGAAAATTATGGAAAAAAAGAATCTGTTTTTGGAGTTATCTCCCCTGAAATGTTGATTTTATCATTTTCAAAAGCTGTATGAGCTATGTTTAAAGTGTAAATTGCAAACTATGATTAGCATGACCAGATGTATCCGTCATGAAAATTGGAGCAGTTATTGGCTGTTATTGTGAAAACTATAGGAGCTTGGTTGAAAGTGTGAACTGCAAAAAGGATCAGAACGAAAAAATGTATCTACCTTTAAAATTATTATTGACTGTTAATGTGGAAAACTTGAAAACTGGAAAAAAATGGGTGGACCTGTTTTGAAGTTTTTGCCCCTGAAATTTTTTTTTTTGCAGTTTTTGGCTTTTATCGTGAAAAATATAGGAGCTAGATTAAAAGTATAAAATACTAAAATAATCAGAAGACAAAATCTATAGACTGAAAATTTGAGACAAAATTGTCAACCGGTTGAGTTATTCTCCCTGAAATAATACATTTTTGGCTGTTATTCTGAAAGCTATAGGAGCTAGGTTAAATAAAGGCAACAGTAGTATACCGGTGTTCAAAAGTCATAAATCGATTGAGAGAAAACAAATCCGGGTTACAAACCAAAACCGAGGGAAACACATCAACTACAAGAGGAAAACAAAGGAACAACAGGAACACCGAAGTTCAAGAAAAACAAACGCCAACACACATAGAAACGAACTATTTGATAACAACTGCCATATTCCTGACTTGGTAAAGGACATTTTAAGAAAAAATGGTGGGTTGAACCTGGTTTCATGGCATGCCAAACCTTCCGCTTTATGACAATGTTAAAAAATATCGCTAAAATACTACGTGACAGAAATACAGCACAAACACACGCAAGAACATTCATAACAGAGAAACGCACAAACAAATAATATAATAGTCTACACAACATGCAAACCACAGAACAACAACGAACATATTCCATCAACGAAAAACACCACAGGATATCAAAAACAGTGACGCGCTTACGTAACTAACATGCAATCAACGATGGTATGGAAAGGCAATTTTATAATTATTTGGACTACAACCGATAAGACATAACAGATTATCCAACCAAAACCATAACAGAAACATAAAAAAAAATCCATTAATATTGGATGTACAAAATTGTTACTGCAAAAATGATCAGAATGAAGAGATCTATCTTCTCTGAAAATTTGACAACCCGTTTTGGAGTTATTGCCCCTGTAATGTTGATTTTGATGTTTTTATGCAGTTTTGGCTGTTACCTGAAAAACCATACGATCTATGTTAATCATGTAAATTGAAAAAATGAGTAGCAACAAAAAGATAATTAACAGTGGTACGTTCATATACAAGTCCTAATTATCAAACTAATGAAATATTTCACCAGGTGAGCGATACAGGTACAGATGTGCCTCTTGTTCTCTTTAAGATTGTTGACAAGGTGGTAACTAACCCTTTCATAAAGGCAAATAATATTAGACTTAGTTTCTAATCTGCAGAAGGACTCGTTGCTTTGTATATATCTAACTGTTGTATGGTTCTGAAATAATTGCTAAGTGTTGGTTTATACTCATACCTAATAGTTATCTTGAATTTATATAAACATAATGAGCAAACAAAGGTACACATGAATATCCAGGCAATAATCATTTAAACGTATAATAATTTTTATTAAGAGGAGGGAAATTTTGAACAATTACTCATAAAAAACATACAATATAAGAAACTATGCTTTTCTGGATAACTCTAGAAATTAATATA